TGCCGCCCCCATCATATAAAAATACAAATATGCATGGCTATTTATAAAAACATGTCTTATAGTTTTATTAATGATTGTACATAATATAGGTAGGTATACATGACTTACAGAATATAGATTAAAGAATATCAACATTACAAAAATGTATGCATACATGCGCGCCGGCGGAGGCGAAAAAAACCTGCTCTGGTGCCACGCCACGCCCAAAACGTTAATTTTGTGCCAAAAATATTCATTCATAACATAAAAATATAAAATAAGAGTTTTTGGCCGCCCGCCACGGTCGCACGACCCCTAGCAACTAGCAGAAACAGGTATAACAGTATGTGCTCATAAGAAGGGCAAAGTTTGTGTTTGGGTTTGCAAGAGAAATGAAATCCTGAAGAAAAGCAGAATTCAAAAGAACTTTTTTTTTTTTGTTACCTTTTTGCCGCCTCTTCAAGTTTGCCGCCCTAGGCGACTGCCTAGTTCGCCTAATGGTTGCGCCGACCCTGGACATACCATTACATTGTTAACGGTATGCAACAATTTTTTTTTTCTGTTGCACAAAATCGCAAAAAGAAACGTTTTGAGTGAGATATTAGTTAATTATGGAATTATTATATGTAGATTCGGCCTTTCATCATCATCATCATAGGCAATCACTCGAGTATGATTATCTTCTATTCTATTCTTTTTCGATTGTACGTTTCTTGATGGCTATATAAACCAATTCTGAAGCCGCACGCTATTCCATAATCTTGGAACACCCAAGGCCTTCACAAAAAAGCTGATCCGATTACAATGAATTAACGCGATCACCCAGCTGCTGTAATTTGTCTGTTTTCAATCGCGTTCATTGAAGAAAGGAGCAAAATAAACAGACTGTGATCAGGTCAACCTACCTCAATGGATCAATCGGTTCAGCTTTTCCGTAAAGGCCTTTTGTATTTGATTTATACCAGGAGGACTATAGACGGTAAAGATATGACACCTTTATTCCAAAATATATCAACTTCAAAAATTGTCAAATTACAAAAATATTAGGTAACGTTTATTACTACGATGTTAGGAGCGCTATAAATGAAGCGCTGTAACTATGTAATTTACACCAGGCGTTATAGAATACGAGTTTTGGTGTTCAATGTAAGTTCCAATTATACATCGCGATATAAACTAACGCGCTTTAAAATTTACATTGATGTAAGGCGATTTACAGAATAGGCACATAAAGCTCTTTTTTGTCTGATTTAAGGTGTTGTGAAACACTTGACACTATATCACTTCTTTAATTTTATAATGTTCGATTTTTATTATCTACATTTGTGCTGCAACAATACAATCTGGCTACACTGCAGCCACGAGCTGCGCGCGCATGTCATCTTTTATTACTTTTTAACTTGTATTTATTACAATTAAGCTCTCTTTTTCTATTTATGCAAGATATAGGTCTATTCTTGATGTCAACGACAGAGTAAAACAGGGGTGCAACCTCGAGTGCAACTACATCGAAAACATGTTTCTAGCTGAGACATTACTGAAGATTATTCACAAAAAGGACTAGATATAACTAAGGAATCAGTTATCCAAAAACAGGAAAGCTGCAGGTCCAGACGGTATCTGCTCAGAAGTAATTAGAATCCTAAAAAATGAGGAGTCACTACACGCCAAAGTGAAGAGTAGTGATGGATGGCTGGTTCTGCTTCTCCGCGATCCGGAGCAACCAACTGTAAGTTATAGGTAGGTATATCGATGTCTAACCCGAGTACATACTATGGTATATACGTCACGCGACTATGCCATCCAGCTAACCCAAACTGCTCCAACCTACTCGAACTGCTCCAACCCACCCGAACTACTACAATTAACCCAACCGTCTAGAATCAGTTACTTGTAATCTGCATGCAGCACCTGGGATCTATCGCCCGCAACTTGACGTCATATACTGTTCATATTATAATTAGTAATGATAGTTTGACAGTTCTACGCCCTCCGTCTTCCGGAGGAGATTTATCAGTAGAAAAGTAGACCGACCTGATACAACTTTTAGAATGACCCCGGAGACAGCTTTAGATATGTCTGTATACAGTTTTAGACAGATCTGTGTACAGACCTGTCTCTAGATCTGGGTTTTTTCCAAAGCTGTAAACGGGTCAGTCTAAAAGCTGTATCAGGTCGGTCTGCTTATCTACTGATAAATCTCATTTGGAGGACGGGAGGCGTAGAACTGTTAAACTATCACTACTTGGCCGTGATACAAGATCCAACATCTAGAAAGACTATTTGACAGGCAAGAATGTCTCAAATTTCTTCTTCATGGCACCAATCGATGTTCCTGCGATCAAGGAAACCCTAACAAAAATTCCTCGGGCTATGATGAGTGATGACATATCCATTAAACTATTACTCCATCTTAGCGATAGGGAGTTTCGTGCGCTTGGATAAATGATTCCTTTGACAAGAGTATATTTCCTAATATTCTTAAGCCTGCAGTGGTTAAATTTCTTCACCAAGGGAGAAACTCAAACTCTCCAGCAAATTCCTGTCCCATTTTTCTTCTTCCTACACTTGGTGAGCTGATTGAGAAACTAGTCAAAATTAGAGTTTTTGCATTCCTCAATCTAAACAGGTCCCTCTCCCATAATCAATTTGGCCTCTAGTGTGCCAAAGGAACATCTGATGCGTTCTCCTTTCTGGAAGATATCTGTTTCATATAAAGGTGTTAATTGGTTTCAGTCGTACTTAAGTGATCATCAGCAGGTATAGTTTTTGGTTAGAGTCGGGGGAAACATTAGACTTTTCTCTGACGACACGTTCATTGTTTGGCTTATGAACAGTGGAACATTCTTGGAACGCATGCTTAATGTCCTGATGCACAATCTATTATTCTTCTAAGACCAATATGTTAAACTTCAACTGCTCATCATCCTATATCGCCTTATGTGATGATTTTATTCTTGCCACCGCCTGTGCTAAGTTTCTTGGAGTTACAGTGGAGGAGAGTCTCAAATTTGAGCAGTATATTGTGGCACTCTCTAGTAGGTTATCATATAGCTGTTATGCTTTGAGAGTACTCTCAGAACAGTTGGAGCTGCGAGCTCTCAGGACAGCATATTTTTCTTTGGTGGAGTCACACATCACTTATGGAATTGCATTTTGGTGCTGTTGCAGTACTACAAATTTTAACTCCATATTTATTTTACAAAAAAGAGCCCTTAGGTTTATGCTTAGAGTTCCCTTCCGACAATCTTGAAAACCTAGCTTTAGAACTTTGACTGTCCATGCTTATATATACTCGAAAATGTTTGTCTGGTCTATAGGAAATACTATGACCAAGTTTCTTCGGCAAGGTACTATTCCACTAGGCAAGTTAATAATATTTCCACTGCCAATTCCCAAAAGCAAGTTGATATGCTTTGTCAATGAAAAGTTTTTTCCTGGACAAAAAAAGTAGGTACTTTTTGATTTGATTTGAATTCAATTAACTTGACTAACTTAACACCCCCTGCTCCATTCTAAGACTGGATCACTTTGCACAATGCTAGAAGAAGGTGGGTCATTATCTGATGACAATTCTGTATTAATTTTGTACTTGGTATTGTATAGTATTTCCAAACTCAGTTGGGACAAGGTATCAACTGGTGGCTGATTGGTCACTGAAAATTTCCATAAGAAATGCACTGCTACTAGTCAGCCACCAGTTATGATTTATGTTCACCTTGTTCCAATTGACTTTGGAAAAACTATACCTAGGTATGCATATACATTATTTGATCCCACTATTCATAAACACCTTGTATAGTGAGTGTTTTCATTGAAAAAATGTCAACACACAATCCGGTGAAATGTATTCAAAACAGTACCGAGTGAAATATTGTTTAAACTATACCTGATTCATGTTTTTGTTACATTTATATAAATTATGCAATGCTCACCCTGTATGTTTAAATTAATAATAAGGATTTCTGTGTTCCTAACGAAAAGGAAACTGAGTATAATAAGAAATTCAGAAACTCAGAATTACTGTCACAGTATTGCCTCTTTGGAACAAGGTGCCAAACTGACGATTGAATAATCATAATCTACTACATTTCTATTTCTTGTAAATCTCTTAGATAGCACTAAAAACTAGAGTTGTGCAAAAGGTGTGGTTCATTAATTAACGATGGCACTACTCTCGGGAAAAGACTTTCCGGAAAAATTAATTAAACGATGGACTATTAAGGCTCGTCAATAAGCCACATCGTCGATTGTCATGCATGACTGATGAGCATCTTTATTAGTAGATTACAGTTTTTCGGGGTTGGGAAAAAATTACAGTTTACACAAAACTAACTTTTTAAAAAAGCAATAAAAAAACAACTCGCCTACTTTCGACTTCCTCCTAGACGGAAATTCGTTCCGAAAGCTCCCCTTTCAACGTCAGATATTATTACAAAACCCAATAAAGGCGCACAAAAGGTACCCATAAAAGTGCCGCCTTCCCTGGTCGAATATACCATTACTAATTATTTAATGGAAGGCGATATTATGCAACCCACCACCTGACTACACCGGGGTTGGAAATTTAATATCTGCGCTGAAAAATAGAGGGCCCTTTTTACACCAAGAGAATTTATAGGGTTTAATTATTGGACGTTTAAGGGGTGGGCGAAATTGAAAGATTAATTTTTTTTTCGAGTGCTTTTTGTAGATGCGATTTTTAATAAAACGTGGGCTTAATTTTTAGGTTTTTAGCGATTAATGAAAATTCCATAATATAAAAACAATATTCACCGACCCAAATAAAGTCCTTCTTGCGGTCTACAATAACCCAAACAGTAATAACAGTGAAAGCGCCTAATAATAATAATTACATAATAAACCACCCATAGATTATTGATTACCGGTGCAGAAAATCGACATTATTTGGTTTGCTGGTGTATAAATAAGACATTTTTCTATTACTGAAAACAGTGGTAGCATGGTAACCGGCAGAATCAACATGAGGTTCTACCTAGTTATAGGTTTGTGCTGTCTAGCAACTCTAAGCTTTGCTAGGGTGATTAAAGAAGAAGAAGCACAGAATGGTGATCTAGTTGCAGCTGCTTCGGGTCACGGTCATAAACACTCGAGCAGTCACGAAGAAGGCGGAGGTAAAAAGCACGAAGCCCACCATCACTCCGAGCACGGAGAAAAGGGCGATAAAGGCTACAAAACCGACCACCATCACGACAAAGGCCATCACGGTAAGCACGGCAAACACCACGAGGCCCACCATCACGGAGAAAAAGGCGGACACCACAAACACCACCACGACGAAGCCGGCCACAAAAGCGAACACCACGAGGGTGGCAAACACCACAAGGAAGGCAAGTTCGGCGAGAAAAAGGGCCACAAAAAAGGCCAAAAAACTTCAGGTTTCCACCACAAGAGCCACAAAGACGAGTACCACAAAGAACACAAATTCTACGACGATTACCATAAAGGCGGCCACCACAGCAAACATGGCGAGCATGAAGGGCATCACGGCGGCAAAGAGGGTCACCACAAGAAGGGTGGATCGCACAAGAGCGGATCGCACGGCGAACACCACGGCAAAAAGGGTCATTCTGAAAAGGGACACCACGACGAGCATCATAAAGGACACAAAGGGCACGGTGGACATGAGAGTCATCACTCTCATCACAGTGATTACGGAAAGAAAGGAGGACATTCTGGCGGTAAGGAGTACGGATACAGTCATGGAAAGAAACACTAAGAAAGCCAAAGATTTGATTTTAGTTGTGATTTTGTTAAGTTTAAATAAATTTATTTATTTATGATGTTATAATTTTATGTTGCCTTATTTTCATTATAAAATGAGACAAGGAAAAAAAATGTCACAGCTCTAAAAGTAACTCACCATAAAATTTAAAACGATATATAAAACAGCCGTAAGAGCAATACTCGTTTATCATCTCCTTCGGCCAAAATTGAACCATAAAAAGCGACTCGGTAGAGCCACACGGGGACAGTCCGAGAGCTGGTTTTGAATAACTTACAAGAGATGGCGCATATATGCGGCACATATGTATGCGTCGCGCGAGCCGCTCTAAATTAACTATTTAAATGCCGCGTTACACTTTTCCTAATGGCTTCCGTCTGGGCTCGTTTTTAGATGGCGATGTGAGTCAAATTTAATTTTGAGGTAAATTGAAAAATGGATAAATGGGATGAGGAACGCCGCTGAGGTGAATACCGATTAGCGATCGTTACGTTTTTCATTGATAACGGCGGGAATTTTTGAGGGGATATTGATGCACAGATGATTTTATAATTTCTACCCTTATTGGAATTTTGTAGGAGTTAACTATTGTAGAAGATGTATTGTGTTTTCTTCCTGGGTTCTTCAGTTGATAGGATTCTCACTCAAAGCATCTCATTCAGCCTTTATGAGAGCAAGTAGGCTGGATGGTTTTATGGACGAAAGTTCTTCCCCTGCAACGGTGCAGCATTCGAAGTAGGCCATTCTTATGTTCACGATCACCTCGCACTCCGTGAGAAGGTGTTCTGGAGTTTTTTCCTCTCTGTGGCCTGTGAAGACTCCAGTGAAAATTTGAGTATTGTTTTTTCCCCATAGAGGCTGATCGATTTGGTTCACTTTTCCTTTCTGAACGCTTTTTATAGGTGTGCGTCCCTATGTCACAGCCACTGGTCCTGGAACCGGAGTTTGTGCTCCCAATTTCACCAATTGGTTCGCTTTCTCATTGCCTTTGATCCCTGCGTGTCCCAGTATGCACTGGAGAGATAGTCCAGGCATTCTCAAACCATTCTGGAGCTGATTATTGGGAGTTCAGCGCTTCAATGGCTATTTGACTGAGAATATGACAATCTCTCTCTTTTTGTAGTTTCTGTCAACATTGAACTCAGCACATTTACTTATAACTTTTATTTCTCTTTGAAATATGCCTGGGTGTTTTTTCATTGTTTCCAGGCCTAAGTAATTCGGCTCCGATCCCTTGATCAGTTCTTAACCCATTAGTATACAATTTTATGGCGTTCTGCTGCATTCTAAGAATGGATGTAGTGTTCCCTTCCCAGACTTATCTGCTTCTCATCATTACGGTAGTTTTTGATTGGTTTGTCCTACTGTTTGGCAGCATTCGTTCGTTGCTCTGAGTCCAGGGTATCCTTGAACTTTCCTCTTGCTTATGATGACGATATCATCGGCATACCCAGCCCAATGCAAGACCAGGTTGGTCAGTATTTCTAGTAGTTCATCCTTTATTAAGCTCCACATCAAGAGTCAGCATACTCCACCCGGGAGTGCCTCGAATGGTGCTCAGCTAATAGACTTAGTGCCTACTGAAGTCTTTGCTGTCTTCATGCTAAGCATCTTACACATCCATCGAGATATTGTGTCGTTGACTCTCCTTTGCGTTAATGTAATCAGAGGCAGATAATGCGACACCTTTCTCGTCTGGAGTTTCTTGTATCATGCTGTTTCGTTTCAGTGAACATGCTTGCTTTGTAAGCATGCTGACTTGCGTTCAAAAGCCACATTTCCAAGGTAGTGGATCTGATATGGTTACTCTACTCCATCTTTCATCGACATCCATCATTCTCGACTCCAGTAAACCCCCTTATAAATTGACACTCCAATTCGTGGCTTGAAGAATAGTGTGGAATTCAGCAAAGCCCAAGGTACCGTATTTTGGTTGCTGCTTTTCGAAACTTTATACCTATTTGTGCCGTCTTGATTATGTCTTTTGACGCACTGTGTGAACAATTCGACTACCAAAAAGTAAACCTGTAAATATTTAGTAGAATTTCTTTGGAGTATTTCGATATTCTTGTTTTGATTCTATTCTGACACTGCCTTACAGTCCTACGAGAACTGTATATGACAGTTCGACAGCCAAAGACTTGTTTTGTTCCTTATTAATATTTGTTTAAGCGTATACACTGTTTTGCAGTTACACTTTTGCAAATTTATTCGAATTGTTGCTTTGCAATCAATGCACTTTTATTTTAAAGTATGATATTGTACCACTCTCAAAATTATCAAAGACTTTTTCGTGTTTGCTAAGAACAGGGCTGGACTTCACGGCCCTGGCTGTCAAGTTAAGGCTGGATCGAGTAGGTTTTAACTTGATAGTTCGTTTTCGTTAGCTCCGTCAGTGCAATTGGATGATTTTGCGCTTGAGGAAAACCACCTATTTAAAATATTATTTCTTCAAATCCTAACTTTTCAAAAAAACGTTTAAAAAATAAAAGTTAATGTTGCAACCTTGTCTGCGCCATCAAATTTAGGGGTGACCGCGTTCGACCACAAGGATTGGTACTGCGAACGGGAGATAGAGAAGACGCAACTAGACTTGAGAACAAGCTGGGGCTGTTCCTTTAGACGCGTGTCTGTAATTATTCATTATTCAATTTTCATTCTATTTTGCATTAAAATTGATTGTTCAATCCAATTTGTTATTAGTGTGTGTGTAAGGAGGATTCACAGGTTAGTGGATTAAATGCTTTTTTTTTTTGAGAGTTCAATTTATGCAAGTTCCTATTATTTTGTTCATTTTTATGTATTTTTTGTTTATTTATAACATTTTTTTATAACATCTGCATTGTTCATGTATTTAACAAAAATCGTTTCATAATGTAAACAACACAGATAAAGAAGTAAATTTAAACCTAAGAAATTATGTGCTGTCTTTTTGTGCTGAAATTTGGATTTTGTCTATTCAGAACGTGCATTAGAGCCTTGTTGAATTTACTAACATTTTCCTACCCTGACGAGAGAATATCTTAACAAATTGAAATATATAGCTGAGTAGCTTCCCGTATGGGACCTCAGTACCTGCTGAGAAACTGGCTAATTAACAAAAAAACTCTTCAGTATTGAATATAGGTAGAGTAAAAATCAAACGAGAAGAAGCCACTGTCGTTAGCACTGACAAAGAAAGCAGATTTCCTTTTCTCTGGGTCCCTCCCATTTAAAGTGAGACAAACGATAACGCGTGTGACTTCTTCTCGTTTGATTTCTACTCTAGTGTTGATTAAATGTAGAGTGTATAATTGAAATTTTAGCACAAGAACAGGGGCGGTACCTAATTTAAACTTTAATTGACTTAAATTTTTGAATTAATGACTCACAATTATTATTAAAATGACACAGTATGTTTCGATTTTTGAGGAATGTTAGATCGAGGATTTCTCTGCCGTGCTCTTCCCCCTCGTTAGTTCCAGGATGAGAACGGTACGATTTACTTTTTAATAATAAAGTTGACATTTCACAAATTTTTTCGTTTCTTTTACATATCACAACTTCCCTTAAATTTCCCTAATATTTGCTATGTCAGGCGCATGTCCAGTAAGTAAAATTGCGTAAGTTTCCACAACGTAGGTCCTATTTGTTTTTCATTTCGTTTTTCAGAAGATTTATTGTTTAAAAAGTAATAAAAATTATCATCGTGCAATCTTACTGAACGAACCCGGGTATATTATACTACATGCTCTGGAAAAATTGTACCAGCAGATTGCAACATGCCTAATGCAAGTGAAACTTCATATACTGCTTCTCTCAATGTTCATCCAGGTTCCGAGGAAATCGAACTGAAAATGTTGATGCATGTATTGATTCAATAACTGTTTATAAGGAATGTTTAAATATATTCGATCAGAATGCAGTCGAGGCAATTTCAATACTGTTCGAAGGTAATGCCGCAACATGGTGGCAAGGCATAAAGAGCATTACCACATTTGATGATGCTGTGCAATCATTAAGACATGCTTATGGCTATGCTAAACCAGCATATCAAATTTATAGAGAACTTTTTGCTCATGAACAAGGTCCAGATGAAACAACAGATATATTTATAAGCAGAGCTCGAGCATTACTATCCAAACTACCCAGTACTCTGGCAGTACCAGAAGAGGCACAACTTGACATAGTGTTTGGCCTATTATACACCCTCAAATTCGTAAAAAGCTTAATAGAGATTACCTAAAATCTTTTCGAAAACTCATTGCAGCTGCTAGAAAAGCCAAACTAGCCCTCAACGATAGAAAGAAAATGAACAATCAAAATAAGGATGCCAACTCATGAAGACCTAGAATCCAGTGCACCTATTGTAAGAAATAAGAATATTGGTCACTCTAAAGATGAATGTAGAAAGCTTCAGAAAGTGAATGAAAGCCAACAGGCAGAGCCAAAACCATCATCAGACCTTTCAAGTGAAGTTAGACCGAAACTAGTCTGTTATGGTTGTGGAAAAGTAGGATTTATCAGAAGCAACTGCCCTGATTGCAAAGCTAGGTCAGCAACTACCACAAGCACTTTGAGTGCTGAATTTTTGTGCCAAACTATTGCAAAAGAACAACAAGGACGACCCTTAATATCCATTAGCATTCTTAATAAACAAGGTTAAGCATTGGTGAATACTGTCGCTAAATCTAATGTAGCTAGTGCTACACTGAGGAAATGTTTTTAGAAAATAATACTTATTACTTATGACACTTGCAGATGGAAAGGAAAGACACGTAGAGGCCTATGTTTTCCATGATATTGATGTAACATTAGAGTACAAAAAAAAAAAATGGAATTAGCCGTACACTTCTCGGATTGGACTTAATTAAAGCATCACACATAATCCTCTCAAGTTTCTAGTGGAAATTTAAGGACCAATTAGAAAATGATTTTTCCCATTGTGAATTCCATTTGAGATCTGGATAAAGGAACAAATCTTAATAAAACAGAACGTATCAATTTTGACAAGCTTCTAGAAGCCAACGCAAAAATTTTTGCACTGAAAACTGAGATCACCCCGTATTCTTGACTTAACAGAGGACGCACCTATATATGTATCACCTTATCGAATCTCACAGCCCAAAAAAGAAGTCTTACGCAAGGAACTAGACAAATTACTTTAGAATGATTGTATAGAAGAGTGTGAGTCAGCTTATGCTCCACCAGTGGTATTGGTGCCAAAGAAAAATGGAGAAACTAGACTCTGCGTTGACTACCAGCACGTAAACTTCATTACGCAGCCTGCTCGATACTCTCTGCCACGCTTGGACGACATGCTCCATATGGTCAAACGCACTCCATACATGACCACATTAGATCTGAAGTCTGGATACCATCAAATCAGTGTCCGACCGGCTGATAGGGACAAAACGGCTTCTATAACTCCTTCTGGCTTATTTTGTTATAAAGTGATACCATTTGGATTGCGAAATGCGCCCTCAACTTTTCAGAGGCTTATCGACCGCTTTCGCTCTGAATTACAGGACATAGCAATTCTTGCCTACCTTGATGATATAATGATGATAATTATCCTATCAGAAACTCTAGAACAACACTTACAAGACTTACAGAGGCTTACATTTGGCCACTTGAAAGAATTTAAACTTCACCTTTGCTTGTGATCAAGTGCATTATTGAGGTCATGTTATTACACCCCAAGGTATTATTCCTAGTCCTAGTAAAACTGGGGCTATTCGACAAATGAAATGCCTTAAAAATATTGAGCAGTTACTTACCTTTTTACAAACATGCTTGTGGTTTAAGCGATTTATCGACAAATTTGCAGACATTGCCCAGTTACTTTTTTTTCTACATCGAAACATACACCAACTTTCTGTCAAATTGTCAGCTTTTCGCTTTTCTGGAGCGAAAATATAAAAGCGAAAAACAAAAAGACACGAAGGGACGTTAGAACTAAGTACAAACGTTCAAAACAAAAACAAAAACGCGGCAGAGCGCAAAAATGTTTTAATTTATGAAACTTTGCCCCGGCTGGATTACGTGACGTCAAAAACAGGAGAAAATCCGCTTAAAACAAGAGGAAATATTAAATTTTTTTATAAATAATATCCGGTACAAGGGATTAGGGATTAGTTCTTTTCTCTTTTTTAAAGGATTTATTGCAGCTTTTAATTCGCAATGTCCATACAGAATTTTCAATATTTCAAGAGTGTGCCGTAAAAGGTTATTTATATAACACATTGTCATGCAAAGTGGAATATAGATTCCATTACCATACACAAGTGCGGTAATAATTCAAGAGTAGTATCGATTTTAATAGTTAAGCTCGCCTCTAAAGAAAACATCGATAATCGAGGCTTTTCAAAAAGAAAAGCTCCCATAAGCCGTTTTTGTCAACTTTTAAAATTGATTTTCTTAAAAACACCAGGAACTTATTTTCACACAAAACGCAATACAATAAAGGTCTTTCAGTTCCTGCCCTTTTCTCGACCACACCGTTCACACCAAAACATATTTCCCCATTATTCACTCTTAAGGCCATAAATACGCCACCGGCGTTCCCTATCCAGACAGGGCCTTAGTCAACATAACAATGCCAAAATTGAAACAATTAATTACCCTCGAAGAGGGAGAGAGCCGCAATTGAGTGAAGCGCCCTCTGCCTCTACAATCTACAGTCCCTTTTGTCTTTCTACAGTAATACAGTTGTTCAACGTGTCGATGCATTAGCTTGAAATGATATACGGTGCGCCATTTTGGGGGTGGGGAGATTAAGTTTTGTTTAATGATTAGGGGACAAAAGCGGTAATTTCTGCATTTTGGGTGCATTTACAATTTATTGTTTTGTTTCGTCATTAATTAATTTGGAATGGTTTATTGAAGCCTTTCAAATGCAGTTTATGTAGGGAAATTTTCGTTTTAACAATAGCTTTCTGATATTTAGGTTTATTTAAACATTTTATATATGAATTCTGGTTGCAAGACATTCAAATTTACTCGTCACGTACCTACAGTATAACAAACAATATTCCAAAACAAAATATTCATAAGCAATCTCGACTGTGACCAATCAATTTACCAATTTACTTCATCAAACTTGACCCAGAATACCCAGACACCATAAAATTAGTATAGCAGTATTGGCAATAATATTATTGGTGCAATAACCCAGAAACCATTTAGTGCACAAAAGCTCTCCATTTCCTAACGCCATTTAAAATATAAATACAATTCTGGTCCATTGTTAGAAGCAGTCGTTGATGGTATCCCATATCTAAAAGCACCATGAAGGTGGCAATTCTCCTAGGACTCCTAGTCTTGGTGGCCTTAGTTAAGGCCAAAGCCTTGGAAGAAGACCATTTCGATTTGGAAGTAGCTGCCAGTGGACACGGTAGTTCACACAAAGAAGCTGGTGGAAAAGAACACCACGAACACCATCACAGCAGTCACGGCGAAAAAGGTGACAAAGGCTACAAAACCGATCATCATCACCACAAAGATCATCACGGTAAACATGGCAAACACCACGAAGCCGGACACCATGGCGAAAAGGGCGGACACCATAAGAGCCATCACGACGAAGGCGGACATTATCACAGCCACCACGAGCACGGACACCATCACAAAGGTGGCAAGCACGGCCACAAGAAGGGCCACAAAAAAGGCCAAAAGACCAAGGGTCACCACTTGAAAAAACACAAGGACGAATACCATAAAAACCACAAATTCTACGATGACGCTCACAAGGAGGGTCACCATGAGAAGCACGGACATCATCACGGTTATCATGGCAGTAAAGAGGGGCACCACAAGAAGGGCGGTTCGCATAAAAGCGGATACCATCACGATCATCATGGCAAGAAAGGGCATGGCGACAAGGGACACCACGATGAGCATCATAAAGGGTTCAAGGGGCACGGTGGACACGAGGAGCATCATAAACATCACAGCGATTATGGCAAAAAGGATGGACATCATGAAGGAAAACATTGGGGATTCGCTCATAAGCACTAGAAGGAACTTTGCTTTGTTTTTTGTTATTGTTTGTCAATTTTTTAATAAAAGATTATGAAAAAAAAGAATTTCAATTCTAATTTTTCCTTATTTTCCATTTTGTACATTCAATTTTCACTTACTAAGTTAGGAACTCTCACCAATCTTTATCTACTTAGATTCTCTCACTTCAAATTTGAATTTTGTCATTGGAGCTATGAATAAGCTTATTTGATAAAAACTATGTATTATTTTATTTAGGAAATTAGACAGCTCACAGAGAACATCCAAGGATTTGCTATTGAAGATATTTTTATGCTTAGAAGCCTCCATCATCAAAACTATTAGAGCTAAGGGGAAACTACTTGTGTAAAACTATACAGCAATGAATTTTTCTTGAAAAGACATTTTCATACTTGCGTGATGGAGTGGAAATCTTCTGTCCTATGAAATAGAGAGATCTCATGGAAATTCGTAGAGATATTGTCTATTCACATCTGTAGTCCAAACGTACAGGTAAAATTTATCACCTTTCAATTCGATAGGGAAAGCTGATAAATTCACCTATATTTTTGGACTACAGATTGAGAATAGGATATATGTGGAAATCGATAGATATCCGTGAAGATATATAGATAGATATCTGGTAAAGATACGTGGAGGTCTACTGAAGATACATGCAGATCCGTTGGAAATACATGGAGATCGAATAAGTTCGGCTGCAGTTGTGTAGGACCAGATCCACGGAAGTCCATGGAAATCCAAATGATCTCCTAGGAGATTTAAGGATACGCCTGGAGATCCAAGGATATGCCTGGAAATCTCAGGATATCCTTGGAGATACAAGGATATCCATGGAGATTTATGGAGTTCCAAGAAGATTTTCTATCCTAAAAAATCGCCGGGAATAATCAAACTCTTATCAACTGAAATTTTGATCAGTCAAATTTTGATTATTCCGGGCTCTTGATTGGGTTTAGGAGTTGGGAATATTCAAGAATCAAATTTTGAAAATTCAACTTTGGGTTATTCTTGGCTCTTAATTGGATTGGTTAAGATTTAGTCCCAAGTACATCGACCTCAAAATTTTGTAACTCATGTACACGTTAAACTTCCTGAGCGGCTTCATAACACCAGGTCGGACAATATTTTTCATATCTCCACCCTGGGCGATGGGCATTGCCGCGCTAGCTCTTCGTGAAGTTGTCGTTTTGACGTCCCTGAGGAAGTTGATACATGTAGGTATACGTGTAATTTCAATGCCAATCGACTGTTTTTTACATTACATTAACGATATCACATTTGTCGGACAAAAACCATGTGGATTTGGGGAAAGTCCGACACCCCCAACATGTCGCTGTGGCGTCCTTAAGGAAGAGCCGGGAATAATCAAACTTTTATCTATTTGTAGCTCTTGAATGGGTTAGTTTTGTTTGCATTAAAGATATTAAAGTCACTCAATCAAAAGCTGAGAATCTACCTATTCAATTTTGATCATTCAAATTTTGAATATTCCAGGCTTTTGATTGGGTTTATGGGTTGGGAATATTCAAAAGTCAAATTTTGAAAATTCAACTTTGGGTTATTCCTGGCTCTTGATTGGATTAGTTAAGATTGATTGAATGATTTTTGAGATGTAAAACTAGTTCAATCAAGAGCCGGGAATAATCAAACTTTTATCTAGTCCCAGCTGTTGACTGGGTTTGTTTAGTTTGAATTAAAAATGTGAAACTCACCTAATCATAGGACCTGAGAATATTTAATAAAATAATTAAATTTTTGATGATCCTTTTGGGTCTTGATTGGATAAGTTTGATTGACTACTTTCTGAAAAACAAAACTAGCTCAATGAAGAGCCAATAATATACTCATAATATACTCAATAACTCAAATTTCTTTATCAGAAGAGAATTGATTAGGTTATTTAGAAAAATTTCTGAACGAATTCCTGGCAAAGACGAAAACTTCTGGCCAACTTCCTGCTCTACAACAATTTATTAAAAAATCTGCACCCCTGAATGAATATATTGATTCAGCCAAAATATCGATGAAGCAAATAAGAAAATTATTTGCTATAAGTGAAAAAACTAAATTTCAATCTACAAATAGTTGTAATGCAGCCAACCAACCAGCACACTGTCACAATGCACTGAAAATTAAATTAACTTTTGACGAAACCATCTTAACGCTTAATTAGGCTGGTACCGCACCGATAAATTGGTAAACCCAACCTGGCCTAAAAGAGAGAAATCTCGCTTGCACATTACAATCAAAAATTAGCTAACAAATACAATATAAATACTTGCGGCCGATAGTTTGAATGCACACTACCACCGGGGTTCATCTAGTCCAGTCACAGGTGCCCTTTAGTGTCCCAAAAATGAAAACTCTAGCCCTTTTATTGGGCATCGTCTTCATAGCCTCAGTCAGCTCAAAAAGCCTTCAAGACGAAAACCATGAGCTGGAAATCAGAGAAGCTGATTTAGAAGCTGCAGCTTCACACCACGGACATAAAAGCAGCCACGAAGAAGATGGTGGTCACGAGCACCACGAACACCATCACAGCAGTCACGGCAGTAAAGGCGACAAAGGTTATCACACCGATCACCATCACCATAAAGGCCATCACGGTAAGCACGGCAAACATCATCACTCCGGACACCATGCTGAAAAAGGTGGACACCACAAGGGACACCACGAAGGCGGCGGCCATCATCACAGCCACCACGAGCACGGACACCATCACAAAGGTGGCAAGCACGGCCACAAGAAGGGCCACAAAAAAGGACAAAAAACCCACGGACACCACATCAAGAAACATCACGACGAACATCACAAACACCACAAGTTCTACGACTCCCACCACAAAGACGGACATCACGGTAAGCACGGACACCATCACGGACACCACGGAAGTAAAAGCGGGCATCACAAGAAGGGTGGACATCATAAAAGCGGATACCATCACGATCATCATGGCAAGAAAGGGCACGGGTCTAAGGGACATCACGATCACGAACACAAAGGGCATAAGGGACACAGTGGGCACGAGGAGCATCACAAACACCACAGCGATTACGGGAAGAAAGATGGACATAAAGATGGGAAGCATTGGGGGTATTCTCACAAGCATTGATAATGTCAAGACTGTTTTTTGTTGTTTTGTTTTTGTTGAATTTTTGTTGAGAAATAAAGAAATTGTTTGAAAAATTTGGTATTTTGCTTACAGAAATGATGTATTTTTTTTTTTTTTTTAATTCAACTGAAGAAGAATCTTTATCGCTATACTTAATTGGAGCCCTTAACCTGAAATCCCCCAGTCTGGATGGAACTCCAGCATTAGGAAATTGAAATCAAAGTTATTTCTTCAACTTTGGGAAATTGTGCTGAAATGATAAAATTTAAATTTTTTTTATGTTGACATTTTGTGTCCTAATGATCATTGGGGACCTCTCAATCCCCATACAGTGAATTATTCTCGGATTTGAAGCCGAAATGTCTGAAAAAGGCACTCAAAAAAATTGAAAAATTGTTAATTTACCCCAAACTGCTTAACTCGATTTTATTTCAGAAACTATACGTCCAAATGAGCTGAAATTTTCAGGGATTGTAGTCTTCTACTAGAATAAGAATCGCTGAAAATTTCAGCTTTTCATCTCTAATAGAAAAAAAGTAACGATTTTTCAAAGTTTTCAGAAATCTTAATGGTATGGTAGCCTACCTTAGTATACATAGGTATACTAAAATGATAAAATTTCAATTTTTTGAAAAAAGGCACTCAGAGAAATTAAAAAATTGATAATTTGCACCAAATTGCCTAACGCGATTTTATTTCAGAAACTAAGTCCAAATGAACTAAAATTTTCAGGGATTGTAGTCCTCTACTGGGATAAGAATCGCTGAAAATTTAAACTTTCTCTCTACCTCTAATAGAAAAAAAGTTATAATCTTATAAAATTTCGAGGAATTTGAATCGTACATTAGTAGGGTAAATTGGTCCATAGTGGGACAGTTTTTTTCAAAAATTATTTGCCTTTTTTAATTGGAAAAAATTCACAGGGAACATAAACTAGCGAGCAGCCCTAGCTGTTTTGATAAAATATCTTCTGCTACTACGGTATCTCTATCGGGTTTGTCTTGTCGGGGAAAATAAATTTGCTGGCCACAATTCTCTTCATAAAGGAGATGTTATATTCATCTCCACTTATCGTAATAACCTGACCAACATAATGTTTAACAGTTTTTTTTGTCATGTATGTTACTACTAGCTAACCCGGCGAACTTCGTACCGCCTCTGAATTATTAAATACGTATTAAATGTTGTGTTAACGTATCTATTAGCTGAATTAAATTTAGTTTTCTTCAATAGTGAACTTGGCTTTGATTGAAGAAAATTAATGTTTACTATCTGGATCAGAAGTCACCTAAAATTAAAATTTTACATCATCCCTTTTTAGGCAGCTTGTGGGTATTATTCTTGTAAAGTGTACCACTAAATAAATAAACTCAGGCACAGAAATGTTCAAAGAATGTAAAGAAAACAAAAAAAAATTGTTTGTTTCACTTTATCTGCACTGCACTACTCCATCTGTTCTACTCTATCTGCACTATTCTATCTGATCTACTCTTTCTGCACCGCTCTATTTGATCGGAATAGTGGAATAGTTCTGTTCGGAATAGCTCCAGTTCCTGAGCAGCATTGTTCTACTGTATCTGCAATGAAAATGTGGCGATAAACTTGGTATCGGTTATAAGAGATGGCGCCGTATGCGGGTTTAGTGAATTTTTTTCATAAATAAGTAAAATAGGTAATTTTGTTCTTTTATTTTATTTTTTTTTGGATTTTTCGATTAATTTTGTCATTAGGGACAAAGACAAATCCAATAAAGCAAAAATCATAAAAATCAGTTCAGCCGTTCTCGAGTTATAAGTGTTAGAATCAACACAACTGTGTTTTATATATATAAATAAAATAGTCCTGCTCTTGAATAGACGAATCTTGATATTCTGATGTGGATCTTTCCAAATCGCTAGATTCGTTACAAATCTTTTCACTAACATCACTGTTCGAACTAATATCGTCATTAAAAACTTACAGCTGTATGCAACATCCTCTTTTAACTTGAAAGCGCTTTTTAAAACGGGTACCTTTAAAAAAATGTATGGCTTAGAATAGACATTTTTAAAAGTGACCAGTTTTAAAAAGCGCTTATAAAAACGCATAACTTCTCTCTCAAGTCAAAAGTAGGGCTGTACCAAAGTCGATACACAAAGCGATTTTGATATATGTATGCCTCCTTTTTTGTTCGATGTGTTAAAAAAGAAAAAAAAAAAAAGGATTCGCTTGGAACATGGAAATTTGACAATCAGTGATTTTTAATTGGTGCAAAAATATGGCGTAAAATTCAAATAATCTGCTTTTTTTTCTTTCAATTTCTGGCTTCAAGATTTTTTAAAAAATGAACCAACCATACTTTTATGTAGTATATAAAATATACTTTCGTTACAGATGAATTATATACCTAATTTTGATTGAGTGTAAGAGGTCTATTGAGCTGACATGTCGTGGTTCTTCTACATCCTAATTATTTTCTACAACTCAAATATCTTCTACATCCTGGAACATCTTCCATATCAGGAACACCTTTGTTAGCAATATTTTAGTCACTATTTCAATTTTCATTTTCTTCGAGCCTATTATCAGTGACATAAGATGACATAAAATCACTCTCTGAAAAAATTTGGGAATTCAGGGGTGCTATGCCTGTTTTTTTTAATATCCATTGTGAATGTTGACAGGAGTAAATGCTTTATGTGCCTATTCTGTAAATCGCCTTACATCAATGTAAATCTTAAAGCGAGTAAGCTTATATCGCGATGTATAATTGAAACTACATTGAACGCCAAAGCTCGTATTCTGTAGCGCCTGGTGTAAAGTAGGTACATAGTTACAGCGCTTTCTTTATAGCGCTCCTAACTTTATAGTAATAAACGTAACCTAATATTCTTGTAATTTGACAATTTTTGAAGTTGAAATATTTTGGAATAAAGGTGTGATATTATCTTTACCGTCTATAGTCCTCCTGGTATGAATCAAATACAGAAGGCCTTTACGGAAACGCTGAACCGATTGATCTACAGGATTGGCATAGAATTTCCCCAGTTTATAAAACCCAGTGGGGTTTTCGGGTTTTTTCAGTTGATAAAGCCCACCATTATTGGGTTTTTTTTTTTAAAAATAGCGAATTTTCAGTTGGATGAGCGTCATTTTTGCAGGAAATATCAGGGATTCCTCGATGATTCCCCAATTCCCGGCTGTTCGCTGTTGGCGTGAAGGCCTGGGCAGGGACTCCATGCCATGTAGAATTCAACATATTGAATATGCTGAGCCTATAGAATCCTGTCGATAATATGTAGAATTCTGCATGACACGGAGTCTCTGGGCTGACCAGCCAGAGGCATGGTGCAATGCACTCTGTACGGATACCAAGTGTAATTATTTATATCAAGGGGGCTTGCTTTATTTTGTAAGGACATTTTAATTTTGCAACGAGTCATAACTTTTGTAATACTTTTGCTAGAGAAGAAACTATAAATCAAATTTGATCGCGTTAATCCATTGTAATCGGATCAGCGTTTTTGTAGAGGCCTTGGGTGTTCCAAGAATATGGAAAAGTGTGCAGCTCCAGAATTGGTTTATATAACCATCAGGAAACACACAATCGACGAAGAATAGAATAGAAGATCATCATACTCGAGTGATTGCCTATGATGATGATGATGATTATGATGAAATGCCTAATCTGTATTAATTCCATATTTAACTAATATCTCACTCGAAACATTTATTTTTGCGATTTTGTGCAACACAAAAAACTTTTTTCTTTCATACCGTCAAAAAACAGTATGTCTCCATTTCCTGCGACGTGAATTTACAGTAGGTGTAAGACTATTTTACAGCGCGATGTAGGTTACAGAATTCCTTTTTCTTCACATCCTTACAGCTCTTAAAGTTGCATCCCTTACAGTACGTTACATCGCATACAGAATCGCACCATTAGGGTAGGCAATGTCTAAATGATCACTGTCGATCCCTCAAACTCCATACACTAAATTATTCTGGGATTTGAAGCCGAAATCCAAGAAAAAAGGCACTCGCAAAAATTGAAAAATTGATAATTTACCTCTAAATGCTTAACGTAATTTTATTCCAGAAACTGTAAGTCCAAATGAGCGGACATTTTCAGGCATTGTAATCCTCTACTAGAATAAGAATCGTTGAAAATTTCAGCTCTCTATCTCTAATAGAAAAAAAGTTATGATCTCTCAGATTTTCAGAAATCTAAATCATAAGGTACCTTTTGGTACTAAGCTGATAAAATTTCAATTTTTTTCATATTGAGATTTTGTTTCTAAATGATCATTGGGGGCCCCTCAAACTCCATACACTAAATTATTCTGGAATTTGAAGCCGAAATCTATGAAAAAAAGAACCCAGAAAAATTGAAAAATTGATAAACTGGCTCTGGAACGAAAGAGCGCTGCACAAAAGAGCGCTGTAACAAATGAGCGCTGTAACAAAAGAGCGCTGTAACAAAAGAGCGCTGTAACAAAAGAGCGCTGCACAAAAGAGCGCTGCACAAAAGACCGCTGCAACAAAAGAGCGCTGTAACAAAAGAGCGCTGTAACAAAACAGCGCTGTAACAAAAGAGCGCTATAACAAAACAGCGCTGCACAAAAGAGCGCTGTAACAAAACAGCGCTGTCTGAATTTCAAAAAGATGAATTAAGTAAAAAAGGACAGAGATTGGGTCGCATTCCGAGGACGGGTTAGTTTGGGTTAGATTGGGTTATTTTGTATCCTTATCTGTCTGAGCAATTTGACGAAATTCAGAAACAGAGATTGTGTCGCATTCCGAAGACGGGTTAGTTTGGGTTAGATTGGGTTATTTTGTATTAATTTTTTGTTTGAGCAATTACAGAGATTGGGTCGCATTCCGAGGACGGGTTAGTTTAGGTTAGATTGGGTGATTTTGTATTCATTTTCTGTTTGAGCAATTTGATAAAATTCAGAAACAGAGATGGGGTCGCATTCCGAGGACAAGTCAATTTAGGTTAGATTGGGTTATTTTGTATC